GACCTCCGCGGGACTCGCTCCAACCAGTCTATATCCTTCTGATGTTGAGGGCTCCACAGCTGGATGCAGAATTCCATGTGGGGTCTCACCAGAGCAGAGTACAGGGGCAGAATCCCCTCCCTCGCCCTGCTGGGACACTTCTCCTGATCCAGCCCAGGATACGGTTGGCTTTCTGGGCTGCCAGCGCACACGGCCGGCTTATGTTCAGCTTTTCATCTACCAGTACCCCCAAGTCCTTCTCCTCAGGACTGCATGATCCTTCCACAGGAACTCTTACTGTTGGGCCATGCTAAAAAAACCCCAAGGTATTTTTAGGTGTGCATTTACCTTTTGAATACTCTCTGTACTTAACAGTGCCTTGCATAAAGCTCCTTCTCATCACACAGCACGTGGCACGCCCTCAGCATGCCGTCACCTTTTGTACATTCCAGGTGAAAAATCCATCACGTGGATTTTCAATGCTTTTCCTTCAGAAAGTAGACTCCATGCCTACTACTCCTGAGATAAGATTTGTCTTCCCTGCTGGTATGCAGCACTGCACTCTGAGTTAGGTTTTCTACCGGCTCCTGGGAGAAAGCAGGCAAAACACACAATTCCCACATCCCTCTTCTGACAAGACTCTTACAGTAGCACTGTGGAAAGCACCAATTTTCCTACATAAACTGCAGGACAGAGTTCAAGCACACCATCAAAAACACAAGAAAAGGTATGTTTTAATCTAGGCAAACAGTTAAGGCCTAAATCCTGTGCCTTATCCTTCAGTTAGAATTCCACTTAAGCTTTGGGACATATTTGTAGGACTCCATGGAGGAATTTTACCGCAGACGATTGACTCTTCTTTACAGAAAGACTGATTTACACAGGGACTTTGCATGGACAAAAATGACACTCACGCTGTCTTCAAGAGCTTTTTCCATTACAGAACTGTGGTGAGGAGGCTGCTAACAGAGATATTTAAAATCTGATCACATTGCATTTTAAAAACAGTTCTTACTCACTGGTATAATTTTCTGCCCTCTGTCC